ATAAATATTCCTCCCACTTACACCAGCAATGGGGCACTATTCCTCCCACTGACACCAACGATGGGGCACTATTCCTCCCACTGACACTGACACCACGATGGGGCACTATTCCTCCCACTGACACCAGCGATAGGGCACTATTCCACTGACACCAGCGATGGGGCACTATTCCTCCCACTGACACCAACGATGGGGCACTATTCCTCCCACTGACACCAGCGATAGGGCACTATTCCACTGACACCAGCGATGGGGCACTATTCCTCCCACTGACACCAGCAATGGGGCACTATTCCTCCCACTAACACCAGCGATGGGGCACTACTCTTCTTACTAACACCAGCGATGGGGCACTACTCCTCCCACTGACACCAATAATGGGGCCCTATTCTCCCACTGATACCAACAATGGGGCACCATTCCTCCCACTGACATCAACAATGGGGCACCATTCCTCCCACTGACACCAACAATGGGGCACTATTTCTCCCACTGACACCAACAATGGGGAATACTTTGTTCTACTGATAACAAAAAGGGGGCACTATTTTCCCCCTAATACCAAAGACTGGGCATTGTTTACTCTCACTGGGCACAGTCCAGCCCCCCAGTAAACTGGCCCTTTCTTTAAAAAGTTTGGAGATCCCTGATCCAGATTTACAAACTGCTATAAAACAGATAAAGGTCATGGACCCAACTCAGAGTGCCATTGAAAGAACCTTCATAGAGGTAAGATGCATCTGCAGGGGCCTGGACATCCACCTGATAGAACTTGGAGAAAGTGTGAACTGAAGACCAGGTGGCAACCTTACAAAGCTGAGCAACTAATGCTTGATGTCGGAATGCCCATGGAAACCTCCACTGATCTGGTGGAGTCAGCATGTAAGGGTACTGAAAGTAACATCCTTTAAAGTGTAAACTCATATGAGGAGTTGTCTTATCCAACCAGCAGCAATAGTAGGCTTGAAATCAGGGTGTCCTTTTTGAGATCCTGTTGGCAAGAAAAAGAGTTAAATTTTTGGACAGAGGTTGTGGCTTTCAGTAAACTCTGATGGCTCTATGTCCAAATAAAGGAGGGAAATTTCCTTGGGATGCTTAAGAGCAGGGCACAAGGAAGGAAGGAAGGGCAAAGTCCTCATTAAGGTGGAAGGCTGAAATCACCTTAGAGAAAAAAAAAGGTTCTTGGACATAAGACCACTTTATCCATGTAAAGAATTAGGAAGGGCTCCTTACAAGAGAAGGCTGCTAAATGAAAACACATCTGACAGACGTGATAGCCAACAAAGAGGACAACTGACAGGAGAGATCACCCAAGGGGAGTTCCCTAATGGGTTAAAATGGTCATTCTGCTGGGTAGAGAGAACCAAGTTGTGATACCAAGGAAGTACAAGGTGCTGTAATCGGGGGTCTGATCCATGAGTTCCGTAAGATACCTTGAACAATGTTTTTTTTTTTCCAAGAAAGAGTGAAACAAAAGATATCTGGAATTGATTGGACAAGGCCGAAACCTGGCCAGTAAGAGTACTTAAAGACAAGTTTTGATCAAGTCCTCACTGTTGATAAGCTAGAATTTAAGGTGCCAAGTAGTTTCTGGGATTGAAATGCCTATGTTCATACAAGGCGAAAAAGGATCCTAGTAGAGTAGTAGATTTTTCTCGAAGTGGCTTTGCCTAATGTGGGAAAGTGAGAGTCATATAAATCCCTGTCCTGCAAGACCTGGGCTTCAACAACCATGTCTTTAAAATCAGTGACTGAGAGGCAGGATGGTGCAAGGGGCCATGAGACAGCAGGTCTCGCCTGTTAGGAAGAATCCAGGGATTCTCTCCTAGATGTTTGATTATGTCTGTGTACCAGTTCCTTCTGGGCTGCTTTGGTGCAATAGGAATCATCAATTCTTTCTATCATTGGAAAATTATTAGGAAATGTCTTCTTGGACTGTGCAGGTCTCTTTATGGTGGTCATACACACTTTGATTTTTTTTTTTTTTTTTAAACAAATTGATCTGCAATCCAATCAAAACCGAATAGAGATAACTTTGCTGCCATTAGATTTAGACTCAATACCAGATTGGATCTGATCACACTGAGTTGATCGGCCAGGGAGGGAAATTGTCAATCATCTTGCATCAATCAGCAGCATTGAGATACTTTGTTTATGAATCATACAATCCTATTTTGATCAATCCGATTATGAGATTACATGGTGGAAACAGAGATGCAAGCGATGATTTACGATCCTAAATTGCGATCATATCTTAACTATCAATCGGAATCTACTTCCCCATGTATGGCATTTTGATTAAGTTGTTGTCTATAAATCGATTCTTCCAATTGGAAAAGACATAGATCATTTATCAAAACATGTATGACTACCATTAGTACCTAGAGGAGCACAGCGAGACTAAGGAGAATAACAGTGCGACTACACCAAGGCTGTTAAGCACAGCAGAAGTGAGCAATCTGCATTGGCATATTACAAGCAGCCATAGCATCAAGAGTATGGGAAGCGGGGATGGGGGGGGAGGGGTGAAAAATCTTCCATGACTTCTTCTAACACTGCCTTTGGGTCTTCTTCCAGAGTTTTCCACATCTACCTATTCTGAAGTAGATAGTTCTATTTCTGACTCAGGTAGTGAAGCTGGTGGAAGAAGCCTGTTGCTTTTGCGCTCTGGAAAATGATAGCTGAAGCCGTTGGTGGTCCCAGATATTCTGACATAATTATACAGAAACCTGACATATTCAAATACAGCCAGAATTGTATGCAGAAACTGTGTTAAAATAGTGTCCTGATCCAATGCAAGGGAACAAATGTCACTATGAGTGCTTTGTAGCACATCAGCAGAGGGAATGTTTGACTCAGCTTTTGCTGCAGTTTCCTTGCACCTGGTTTCCTCCATTGCTATCAGTAAGGGTATTCACCTATGAGGTACTGTGAAGTAGGGTGCGAGAATGGGGTAAGCATGTGCAAAGAAGGATACAATGCAACCCAGGTGTCGACTGTTCTAAAGCAAATTCCTTATGGCAAAAAGAGCTGGAGGAAGTGCCAGAATCCTACCTGGACAGAAGAGGTAGCAATAGTGAGATCTATGGTGTGATGTGATTCTTAGTCATCCACCTGAGACTTTACTCTGAATAGTGGAAAGGTTAGTGAGTTTGAAAATGTAAACTCAATAAATGAAGTCAACCACAATTCCCCGTTTCTTGATAATTTAGAGTTAACATAATAAATACTATTCACTAATAATTGTACTGCAAATAGTGGAGATATCAAGGCTCATACTTGTTATAAAGCTACAGTAATTGACCAGCAATGTGAAAAGGTAAGAAGGATTCAAAATGTTATTGGACCCTGTAGGGGTCTAGGCTTTGCCCGTCATGGTGGGCATGGCCCCTTAGGAGTCTTCAGGATCTGGGATCCATAGGAATGGACCAAAGACTTAAACCTGTATAGCACCCTGAGCCTAACTACACATGAAGAACTAAATGCGGAGATGAGCACCCAAGCAGGATTCAGTGAAACAATATTACAGGCTCTCCCCACAGTATGGGGTTCAGGTACAATTTCTAAGCGATTACCGTGGTTGTACCAATCCAGATGCACTGCTTCCTACTGTTATAGTAGAAGGCAGTGAAGAGTCGATTGAAGAACACAAAGTAAATAATTATTAGTTAAATGCAGAACCTTAAAAGGTCACTAGAAAAAAACTGAGCGCTCATGGAGTTGGGTTATAGGGGTACGCCCAAGGAAGGTGTGTCCAATCACCTAAAAGGTAGCAGCCTATAACCCGGGATCTATGAATATCCAGCCTGTGTCCTGTACAGTACTGTACGATAAAGATATACTTTGAATGGACTTCACCAAAAGAACTTTTGTGTAAATGCTGTCCGTTGGACCCCTGTTCTGTAGCAATAAACCCTTTCTAGCTAGCTCAGCCATATGGCACTAACCAGGCTTCTTCAGGTGAGGAGAAAGCACAGATTATAGCATACCTGAATGATAAACTGCAAAAGTAATGCTACACAGTTGACACAAAATTGAATCAGTGCTACAGTGGACCCTTAAAACCACTCTGACTTTGGATTTATAGAGAGAGAGACTTATCACTAGGACAGAGTACTGTCATGAGGCAGATGTAATTCTATGCGAATACCAATTATCAGAAACTCTATTTCCAAGGGATAGTCAGAGGTCCAATCAGCACTTTCCTTCAATAGTGATTGTACGCTTCATGCATCGTGGGTTTCCACACTCTGTACTCAAGAAAACAGTTTAAACCTAATAATAGTGATGCAAAGTCCAAACATAGGTAAAATTGACATGCCAGCAGTAGATGGATTTAGGATCTGCTAGTATGATGTTCTTCTCATAGTGCAAAACTCTACAGACTGAAAATGATTTCTGCACAGTGAGGGAGATTTACTAAAGCTGGTTCACTCAGCCTCGTGCACCTGTACATGGTAGCCAATCAGCTTCTAACCTCAGCTTGTTCAATAAGCTTTAGCAATAAAACCTGGAAGCTGATTGGTTTCCATGAAGAAGTACAAGAGAATCTGAGGGAACCAACTTTAGTAAATAAATCCCAGTGTGCTTTTATGCGGCTGTTTTGGCTTCTGGACAGAAGAAAGTTGACATTTATTTAGTAATGGCCCCCTCCCCTCTTAGAATGTAAGCTCAAAGGAGCAGCGCCCTCCTAACCCTCTTATATTGAACTGTATCATTGCTGTATTGTCTCCCTTTATATTGTAAAGCATTGAGCAAACTGTTGGCACTATATAAAACCTGTTTAATAATAATAATAATAATAATAATAATAATAAATCATTTTCTAAAGACCTGGAAACACTCTGAGAGGTATTGGTTCTAGATTCAGTTTTGCAGGCACCAACTTCCCAGCTGAATGTACCACTTTAAGGCAGTTAATGGGAATGGCGTAAAACATTAGAATTCTATAATATTTAGTAATAATAATTTAATATCTATATATGGAAAGGAATACATACCTCTTTCACTTTCTGTTGCTCACTGTTATACAAGAATGTCCCAAACAAGCAGCTATAGAGGTGGTCAAGAATGGTGACGAGGAAAAGTTCATTAAATTCAAAAGCTGCAGGAAACTAGAAAAAAAAAAAGAAAAAAACTTTACAAAGTCACACCGATTTGAAGTGCACCTGCAATACAGCGAAAATACAGTAAGCCAGCTAGCATAAAGTATGTACTTTAAGGAGTTATATACAGTATTAAGCACCTGACAGCACCACTCAGCCATGAATTCCTAGACAAATATTAAATTACTGAAAACATCCATATTTACATAAGTTACATTCCTTTATCCCATCATTTCGGAGATTCAATTAATGAGACTGGCAATGGTACATGCGTGTTGTGTCACCAGAAAAAGTATCCCCAATGTAAGATTTCTGGTAACTTTCTGTTTTGGTGAAAATTCAAAAATGAATGGCGATGATCACTAGGACAAATAGAAACGTTGAATCTCCACAACGAGGACACAGAAGAAAATAAAAAATGTTTTGGCTTTGGATACACTTTAACTTTTGAAAGCAGGAGACTGAACCTTAAAGCAAATTTCAATAACTCCTTATTCAACTCCAATAACTCTCAATGGATGTTTCAAAAGCTTGTACATATTTGAAGAAATTGGGACATGAATACTATTTACATACTTTATTTTTTCACTGCTCTAAATTAAGGTGGACTTACATTTCAGAGCCTGCACGTATCTTGGTCTTCTGCTACACTTTTCATGTTTTGAGCGATTTTATCAGCATGCCAAAGGCATTTTCTTTGCAGTTCATGTGTGTAACATGTAGCAGGCTGTGCAGAACCACATAACAGTCGAATATGTTTACTCCTGTCTATGCTTAGCTAATTTAAATAAATATATAGTAATGCACACTACCTTTCACAGCATCCCAAATATGTTTTTTTTTCTATCCAGGATGCAGTGGCTGGGGTCAACGCAGCTGAACATTCATTGGGAAACTATTTGATCAGCAAGGTTTTGGGGCATCCATCTACCTCATTTCTACTCCTGGCTATAACCAATTATTTACCTACCCATACGATACAGCTGCATCTTTAAACGGCCCCATCAATTTCTGTGACATTACTAGGGCAGTTTAACCCACTGCTGTAAACAATGAAAACTATGAAAATCCTTTTTTACTCTTCTTATGATCACCATATTAGGCCATCTTACTGCATGTGTACTATACTAAACAACTAGTAAATCCTCCCCCACAATCTTGCAGCGTGTCCTATTATGGAATCTCATAACCAAGATCCTGCCTTTTGTACTAGCTAGAATGATAAAGCAGATCCCAAAAAACAAAAGCACAAACATTTACCTGGTTGGTCATTTGCCATACGCAATCAATAAACTGAAGGAAGATTGGGGATCTGTCAGCATCTGCATGATTGTCATCTCCATGACCCACTCTCTGGAAAAGATCAAATAGAATATTCTTAAATGTCAAAAAAGAACCTCTTTTAATACATTTGCTACAAAACTTTCTGAATAATTCCAAAGCACACATTTAGCAACACGTCTCAAACATCAAATAAATTGATGGGGAGTCACCAATAGGCAAAACACATGCCAAAAATTGCTCAAGGCCCTAACCCTTGCTAGCGAAAATAAAGAAAACATTTCAGTTAGAGATCAGCTTTAACCTCTTCCTTCCCATAGAAATGGTTTCTACCAGGATGATGCCTGCAGCTACAGACATGATCCCGATATTTTTGTTTTCAGCAGGCAAATTCCCTTTAGTGAAAAAGCCATCCAAGCTGATTGCTAAGATTGATTTTACAGGTGGCAGGAGTGGCCTAACCCCTAGACCCCTCCCCCCCTCCGGTGCCTCCCCGGGCTCTCTTGTGCAATCGGCTTACCATCAAGGTTTCTGGAGATCAGATTGTCTCTGGTCACCTCTATGGTATTAGGAATTAGAAGTATCTTGTCACTTTTTGGTTTCGGTCCTTTGTTTACAAGCTATTACTAGCTTGTACAAGCACCAGATCAGACCGATCTTGATCTGATGCTGTTAAAATCAGAGGAAACAACTGGTGTCTAATAGACCCCAGATGTTTCTGTAAGGAGGACCTGTCACTGCTGATTGTTTGTCACAATGGATGTTTACATTCCCTGTGACCTCAATAAAAGTGCACAAAGGTGAACGCATGCCTTGGTCCTGCATGCATACGCAAACGCCCATCGTACCACACGAGTGAGGTATCATTGCAAATGTCAGAGCGAGAGCAATAATTTTTGCCCCAGCCCTCCTGTGTGACTCTAAAATGGTAACCTGCAAAGACATTTAAAGAGTCCCCAATACAGATTTGAAGGTGCTCTGCATAGACAGGTACAACGTAGTTTGGCACGGTTCCACAGGGGTATGTAGTTTTAAAGCGTGATATGTTTGGTATCTATTTATTTGGTGTAACATCATCTTTTATATTTCACCAAAATAAATGGGTATTATATTGTGTTTGTGTGCACTAAAATTCATGATTGCAGTCAGTGTATCTTTTTCAAAAACCATTGTGCAAATACCGTACGACGTAATGTTTTGGGGTTCCAAGTAATTTTCTAGCAAAAAAAATGATGATGAATAAGCAATCCTTGCCATTTACTTCTTATGAATACAAACAAATCACAGCAGACAACACAATTAAATCATCGACTTACCATAGCAAATCTATGGCCAAAGCTTATCCACTCTTTTTCAATTAGGACCTCAAATCCTTTGATGGTTCTGTAATAGCTGTCCAGCATTAGCATAGCCAGAGATGTAAGTTGTGCTGTCCGATCCCAGCCATCACTGCAATGCACTACCACAGAGGTCTTACTTGATTCAAGTTTATCAGCAATCCTCACTGCACCAGCCAGAAGCATCTGGAAACAAAAAGGTTTATTTTAAAGGATATTCCAGTGGAATACAACAGAGCAGGTTTCAAAATGTGACCATCAAGATATTTAAAGGGAAGTGAAAGGAGTTACTACTGCCATGTATAACAAAGGATATTTGTTATATTATCAGCATATGAGAAATGTGTTGTGTTATTGTGTATATTTACTTTAATATATATGAAGCCTAATTCTGGGAAACTTAAAAAATATTAGCTCTTGCAATGGAGCTGTGCCAGCAATGCAAGGGTTAATTGCTTGTTTAGGTCTAGGGGACACAGAAAAGAAAATCTACTTACCCGATCAGCTCAGCTGTTAGACCAGTCACCACACATCTTCTCCTCCCATGCCCCAGCAGTCTAAGTTCCTAATGTCATCAAGACCAATGCAGAGTCCTTAGCACTGCATTGGATATGATGACGCAAAGGGAAAGTCTGCTGCTGAAGCGTGGGAGAGAGGAGGATCAGGCAAGTTAAGTTTTAACCTCCCCTAAATGAGCAGTTAATCCTTGCAGTGTGGGATTAGCACCATTGCAAGGGTGGATTTTTATATTTGCCAGCAATGGGCTTTAAGACTACAAAATAAAGAAAGAAGAAAATAAAATAGTACATATTGTTTTTAGTATTTAGGATAAGCTCACCTTTTGGACAAAAATAATAAATGCACATTTTTTTGCAGGTAAAAAAAATGTGCATTTATTATTTTTGTCCAAAAGGAGCCTGGAAAGCATTGCACCAGCGATCAGCAATTTATTAAAAATAAACTAAAAAAACCACGTCTATAAGTATTCACAGCCTTTCCTCAATACTTTGTTGAAGAACCTTTACCACCAATTACAGCCTCAAGTCAATCTGAGTATGATACTACAAGCTTGGCACACCTATTTTTGGAAAATTTCTCCCATTCTTCTTTGCAGTACCTCTCAAGCTCCATCAGGTTGGATGGGGAGTGTCGGTGCACAGCCATTTTCAGATCTCTCCAGAAATGTTCAATCGGGTTCAAGTCTGGGCTCTGGCTGGGCCACTCCAGGACATTCACAGAGTTGGCCCGTAGCCACTCCTTTGTTATGTGGGCTGTGTGCTTAGGGTCGTTATCCTGTTAAAAGATGAATCGTCGCCCCAGTCTAAGGTCCAGAGTGCTCTGGAACAGGTTTTCATTAAGGATGTCTCTGTATATTACTGCATTCATCTTTCCTTCGATTCGGACAAGTCTTACAGTTCTTTCCGCTGAAAAACATCCCCACAGCATGATGCTGCCACCATGCTTCACTGTAGGGATGGTATTGGCCAGGTGGTGAGCGGTGCCTGGTTTCCTCCAGACATGATGCTTGGCATTAAGGCCAAAGAGTTCAATACTTGTTTCATCAGACTAGAGAGTTTTGTTTCTCATGGTCTGAGAGTCCCTCACGTGCCTTTTGGCAAACTCCATGTGGGCTGCCATTTGCCTTTTACTGAGGAGTGGCTTACGTCTGGGCACTCTACCATACAGGCATGACTGGTGGAGTGCTGCAGAGATGGTTGTTCTTCTGGAAGGTTCTCCTCTCTCCACAAAGAAACACTGGAGCTCTTTCAGAGTGACCATCGGGTGGCTTGGTTACCTCCCTGGCTAAGGCCCTTCTCCCTCGATCGCTCACTTTGGCTGGGCGGCCCGCTCTAGGAAGATTCCTGGTGGTTCCAAACTTCTTCCACTTAAGGATGATGAAGGTCACTGTGCTCACTGGGACTTTCAATGCTCCAGATCTGTGCCTTGATACAATCCTGTCTCAAAGGTCTACAGACAATTCCTTGGACTTCATGGCTTGGTTTGTGCTCTGACATGCACTGTTAACTGTGGGACCTTATATAGACAGGTTTATGCCTTTCCTAATCATGTCCAATCAACTGAATTTCCCACAGGTGGACTCCAATCAAGTTATGGAAACATCTCAAGGATGATCAGTGGGGACAGGATGCACCAGAGCACAATTTTGAGTGTCATGGCAAAGGCTGTGAATACTTATGTACATGTGGTTTTTTTTTTCTCCTTTTTTATTTTTAATAAATTGCAAAGATTTCAAAACGAACTTCTTTCACATCATTATGGGGTATTGTTTGCAGAATGTTGAGGGAAAAAAATGAATTTAATCAATTTAGGAATCAGGCTGTAACATAACAAAATGTGGTAATAGTTAAACGCTGTGAATACTTTCTGGATGCACTGTATGGAAGGCCTCTCGCAAAATTATAAAACATATTCTCACATGGAGCGTGTTAAAGATAAAGATATGACCCAGGTACAATAACATCATAGGTAAATCTCCACAATTTATGAAAACACAATTTAAGTAAATTTTAAGCATTTATGAAACGGATTCTAAACTAGATTTCCTTCTTCATATGGAAAATGCTAAATCAACAATAGAAGATTTGTGTCTGACTCCAAGCACTGCCAACAGCCTATACCTGAGACATTAGACTATAAGAAGTACTTTATAGGAATAAACACCCCGCCCCCCCCCCCCCCAAAAAAAAAATCAAAATATGGATTGGTCAGACATTCCTCCTTTCGACTTAAAGTGATTGTAAACCTCAGAGATGAAATATGAACAAAGCATATCCCTCTATAGTGCGTACTTGTCTCTATCCAGAGCACCAAGTATCATTTCAGTCTGCTGCCTCAGTCCTTTGCTATTAGCATGAATCACGTCTGACAAGTTTTCCTGACACCAAGAGAAAAACAGTGACAGGAGAGAGACCTCCAGCAGATTGACAGCCTCAGCTCTGTTCCTGTGAACTGTGTGAAGGGGGGGGGGGGTGTCCCTTCCCTCCAATCGGCTCTCAGAACTCTCCTCCCTGAGCTCTGCAGTGTGTAAATTTTTTTCTGAAAGCTGAGACGAGCTTTATAAAATGTTGCACTTTGAAAGGATGTAGAGAAGAGATGGCTGCAGCTAAACATATACAATGTATGTAGGAGGATTTGTTTCATCTCAGTGTATCACCTGAAGCCAGTCACCTGACTGGGTATATGTAAGGGTTTACAACCACTTTAAGTTCTCATTTTAAACCAATTGCTCTCCCAACACAACAATGATCTCAAATGTCACCTGGTGAGCAGGGAATTTAAACATTATACAAATTACAGGCACTTACACTCCCTTTAAAGACATCTTCTATTTTGTAAATGTTAATGTTTTGCTAAACTTTAATGAATTGTTGATATACGAAACTCACCAGGATGTATTGGTAATAATAACATACATTTTTCAAAGAGCAGCGTATATAAACTCTTACCAAAAAACTACCAACAACAGCTTTTTTAAAACCAAACATTTCCTGAGGATAACAAAAACTCAGGATTCATACACTTTTGTATCTACAAGTCTATAGTAACCACCAAAACACATTTACTTTCACAAAGGTAGTGGACTTGGCAGGTTCTTCCTGCTGATACTGTGAAATGCCTGCAAGGGTTCCCATTAGGAAAAAGAAATAGGAGGCAAAATGTGACAATATACAATTATAGCAAACTCTCAGTGCTAGAACAGCAAATATAAATGATTCTATTTCTGATGACTAATAAAAGCAGGTTGAAAATGTGGTATAAAAAAGGCTGAGTGTGTCTTTTCCTGTGGCAGCATTGTCCAGTTTTAATTAATATAGTGATGGTGTTAGAGTTAGAATCTTTTATATATTGCAGTCTTTGAATAAAGATTATAATGTTAATACATCCCAGTGGGTTTTGTATAACCAGTTCTTTCAACGTTGTTGTTTCTCTGTGAGTCAATGGGAAGTTGATTGTCATGGAAAAAATGAGTAAACGCTGATGACAGATCTTACCCTTATGTATTCAAGCCAATGTGTTCCATCCACGTTGGTTAGCCATCGTGACTCATCAATGGCTGGATAAACAATCTCCTTCAGCTTACGCAGGGATTCCCTCATGACATGGATGTTGTGGATTTCCAGGAAAATGAGCTCTGCATTGGGGTACGCAGTCTCACTTTCATACCCGCCTCCTTTTGCCTGCAGAACACAAAACACAAAAATTAGAGCAGAACATCCCTCGGAAATCTCATATAAAGAATCATACATTCTACAAGTCCTTACTCACTTTAAGTGCAAAACCAAAATTCCACTAAAAAGATTGGTGTAAAATTATACACCGAGATCATCACAGAGGACAAGGGGGCACTCTTACATCTTTAGGAAAAGAAATGCGGAAAGGTTTCTTCACATTAAAAGCTGTGAAAATGTGGAATAGACTTCCTCAAGAGTTGGTTCTGGCCAGCTCAGTGGATTGCTTTAAAAAAGCCTGGATTATTTCATAGATACACAGAATATAACTGGATACTAACATTTATAGGTAAAGCTGATCCAGGGAATATCCAATTGCCTCGTGGAGGATCGGGAAGGAGTTTCCGATTGCCTTATAACTTTTTTTTTTTTCTTTATGGTTGAACTAGATGGAATTTTGTCTTGTTTCAGCCAGACTAACTATGTAAGCTAAATATTTCTTGTGTTCAGATAATTTTACTGTTCAGACATTAGTGACTGCTATCCATATTCCATGTATGCAACGAGTATATACAGTTGCGCTCAAAAGTTTGCATACTCTTGGAAATTGGAAATATACAGTACCATTTTTAAAGGAAACATAGGTGAGCTAAACACATTTATTTTTTATTGGATTTATATTCTGTAGGTCATAACAGAATTGCAAAATCATAAAACAAAACATTGCAACAACAATGATCCTTGTTCAAAAGTCTGCATTCCTTACATTCCTAATACTGTGTATTGCCCCCTTTAGCAACAATGACAATATGCAGTCTTTTGTAATAGTGGTCTATGAGGCCCTGAACTCTTGCAGGTGGTATAGCGGTCCATTCATCTTGGCAAAATGCTTCCAGGTCATGCAAAATCTTTAGTTGTTTTACATGAACTGCACGTTTGAAATCTCCCCAGAGTGGCTCCATGCTATTAAGGTCAGCAGACACTGATGGCTACTCCAGAACCTTCACCTTTTTCTGCTGTAACCACTGGAGAGTCAACTTGACCTCCTGCTTAGGGCTGTTGTCATGCTGGAAAGTCCAAGAATGCCCCATGTGCAGCTTTCATTCAGAAGAATGCAATCTGTCTGCCAGTATTTTCCGATAACATGCTGCATTCATCTTGCCATCAATTTTCACAAGATTCCCAGTGCTTTTAGAGATCATACACCACCAAAACATCAGAGAACCACCACCATGCTTCACAGTAGGGTTGGTATTCTTGTTGCTATAGGTCTTGTTGATACCTCTCCAAAAATAGAGCTTATGGTTGCGACCATAAAGCTCTATATTGATCTTGTCACTCCAGATTATAGTGTGTCAGAAGCTGTGAGGCATGAAAAGGTGTTGTTGGGTATATTGTAACTGGGCTTTTTTAGGTTATTAGCATAGTAAAGGCTTCTTTCTGACAACTCGACCATGCAGCTCATTTATGGTCAATCATCGTTGTACTGTGCTCCTTGAAACAACCACACCACCTTTTTCTAGAGCAGCCTGTATTTTTCTTGAGGTTACCTGTGGGTTTTTCTTTGTGTCCCAAACAATTCTTCTGGCAATATTGGCTGCAATCTTTCTTGGTCTACCTGACCTTGGCTTGGTATCGAGATTACTGAATTGTCCACTTCTTAATAAATGATTGAATGATTGCCATATTTCAGGCTTTGGATATTTCTTTATGTCCTTTTCCATCTTTATAAAGGTCCATTACCTTGTTACACATTGTCTGACAGTCCTTTTCTGCTCAACATGGCTCTAGCCTGCTCAGTGCTTCCACGTGAGAGCTAACAAACTCATTGACTATTTATACAGATACAAATTGTAATTTAAAAAGCCACAGATGTGGGAAATAAACCTTTAATTGTCATTTTAACCTGCGTGTGTCACCTTGTGTAACATAATTGTACTTCCATGTTCTGTGTACTGTGGTAGACCAAATATAGTGAATGCAGGCTCCTGGGTGTAGTAACACTTTAAATAAAATACAGTTTTTTTTTGGCAATTTCAATGCCAAAGTTGCACAATTTCTGCCAGGGTATGCAAACTTTTGAGCACAACTGTATGATGCAAGGACTATTAACTCCTGGCTTGAAATACAGAAAAACTACCCCACCCAAAGTTACTTTACAATTTAATTACAGGTATTTTTATAGTGCTGACAATTTACACATGCTTATATACTGTACAATCGCATCAGTGACTTCCCTCAGAGAGATTATAATCTAAGGTCCCTACCATACATAGCTTCACATACTAGGGCTAAATTAGACAGAAGCATACTGTATTAACCTACCAGCATGTATTCAGAGTGTGGGAAGAATGAGTACCCCAAGGAAGGGAAAATGCAAATTCTATGCAGGCACTGTCCCTGTTGGGATTCAAAGTGAGGACCCTAGCGCTGGAAGGTAGAAGTGCTAACCACTAAGCCAATGTGCTGCCTAACAATTTATATAAAATATCGATGTTTGGACAAGTCATGTCATTTACCCAGGAATCATATGGTACAAAACACATCACCAGTGCCTCACATTGCTAAAGCAAGAGCAGCTGTCTGATTTGTGGGTACAAAGTATAAACTAGGCTAATTGCTGTACACACACTACAACACTGGTCCCCAGTCACAAGCACGTATACACCAAGAGATAGCTCCATTCATCATAGTAGTCAGGCATTTTAGCAAATCTTAATCAATCATACATAAAAGTGATTAGCAAGCAAGTTTATCAAAATCCCAAGGGAGTGAACATAAGGCGCTGTATGTTCTATCAAATGCAAAACATCCAGTGCCTGTTACCCTCAATCTGAACCACTGCAGCCCTGATTCCATCATTCTGAGAGACATCATAAACAGCATTTGATCACATAAAGGGTTCTAGCTTCTTAGAGCATACCTATCCTAAACCACTAGCTTAACCACTATTCAGTCACAGACATTTTTTTTTTATTTTTGCACATGTTAAAATGCACAGTTTTAGGCCTGAAGAATAGTTAATACCCCCCATCCCAAACAATTACTTTCTGACAGCAGAGACCCTGGAAAATAAAATGGTAGAAGTTGTATTATTTTATATATTTGCACACATTTCTCAAACTCCTTTTCAGAAAAAAGAAAGTTAATTTTAGTGCAGATACCAAACATGCCAAGCCTTATGGTGCTGGGCGCCTGGGTGGAACCACTCAGTCTAATAACATACATGTGTTCAGTATTCTTATGTCTGATCGCTTACTCTGGGTTTTTGTTTTATTTTCTTTTTTACTTGTTTAATGTACATTTTTTCTTCTTGTTTGGTTTTTCTGATTGTTCTTATACATGGATGTACCTATTTGTTGCTGCTGTATGTGTTGAATTTACAGGCTTTGATACTCCAGAGCTGTGACAATTCCTTTCGTATACACTATTTGCTGCGTAGTATTTTGCCATTGTATTGGCTTGACAAGTAATTTGTACGTGCAATTTTTTTTCAATAAATGAAGTTTTAAAAAAAAAACAAAAAACACATCAAGCCTTAAAACTGTAAAACCCCCATGAAACAGCAACAAAATTCAATACTCAAAATTGTCTATAGACAACACTTTAAAAGCCTTTACAGGTTATCAGTTTAGGCCCAGGGATGTCAAACTGGTGGCCCTCCAGCTGTTGCGAAACTACAAGTCCCATCATGCCTCTACTTTTGGGAATCATGCTTGTAACTGTCCATCTTGCAATGCCTCATGGGACTTGTAGTTCGGCAACAGCTGGAGGACCGCCAGTTTGACACCTGTGGTTTAGGGTTAACTGTGAATGATGGCCTTAAGTCAGCCATACATGGATCAAAATTCGGCCAGTTCAGAAGGTACTGGCTGAGTTTCAATCCATGTATGGGCTAACTAGTTGTGCACGTGTCGATATTTTGATCAACTTGTGTACATCCAGCGTGTTGGGTTTTTCCTTAAAGCAGAACTCCATTAAAATTTTTGTTTTCACCATGCAGTAGGGCTGTGCCCCCAACTGCATGGATCAGCTGCTAATTTTTTTCTAGGTGTGAGCACAAAGCTCATACCCGCTTGACCAGCTGATCCTCCAGAAAACCGCGCTCCCCCACAGTAAAGAGGTGGACTGCTTCTGTCTATGGAACATGCTGATGTCAGGAACATTTACAAGGCTGTGGGGGTGAGGGCAGGAGGTGAAGGGCTAAGTCTTGTGTGGGGAGGATCGGCGGGTCAGGTGAGTATATCGCCGCTGTTCTCTCCCCTAGAGCAAAACGAGAAGTTAATAGCATTGGCAAAAATGGGCGGCAACACATGTACTGTACAATCACATCAGTGCCTGCCTTCAGAGAGATTACAATGTAAGGTCCCTGCCTTACATAGCTTCACATACTAGGACTAAACTGGACAGAAGCATATTAACCTACCAGCATGTATGCGGAGTGTGGGAAGAACTCCGAGTACCCCAAGGAAAGGTAAATGCAAGCACTGGGAGAACATGAAGATTACATGCAGGCACTGTCCCTGTTGGGATTCAAAGTGAGGACCCTAGTGCTGGAAGGTAGGAGTGCTAACCACTAAGCCAATGTGCTGCCTAACAATTTATATAAAGTACTGATATTTGGACAAGTCAGGTCATTAACCCAGGAATCACATGGTCCAAAACACATCACCAGTGCCTTACATTACTAAAACAAACTGCCTGGGTAGAAAAGCCTGTCCCCTGCCAACATGCTGTTCTCTGCAGGGAAACTGTGATCTCTTTTTAAAGGTGTGGCATGCCTCCTGTGTGTCACACATCTAAAAGAGACCACTGCTTACTATAAAGAGTCAGGGTCACACTGTGCAGCTGCTGTCTGGGGACAGGCTGTTTTTTTTTACTCAGGCTACAGCTGCTTTAGGAAGAAAAACTGTAAAACGTTAAACACATTTTGATGCATCTGGAACTTATTTAGTGGATTTAAACTGAAGGTTCAATTTCACGTTAAAGCTATGCTAACAGCCTTATTGGGACTGATAAATAAAGTAATAGTGTAGAACAGGGGTCTCCAAACTTTTTAAACAAAGAGCACTGTTACTGTCCTTCAAACTTTAGGGGGACTGAACTGTGGCCAGTGGAAGAAGAAAGTACCCTGGCATCAGTGGGAGAAAACAATGCCCCATCATTGGTGTCAGTGGGAGGAATAGTGCCCCATCATTGGTGTCAGTGGGAGGAATAGTGCCCCATCATTGGTGTCAGTGGGAGGAATATTGCCTCATCATTGGCGTCAGTGGGAGGAATAGTACCCCATCGCTGGCGTCAGTGGGAGGAATAGTGCCCCATCGCTGGCGTCAGTGGGAGGAATAGTGCCCCATCGCTGGCGTCAGTGGGTCAGTGGGTCAGTGGGAGGAATAGTGCCCCATCGCTGGCGTCAGTGGGAGGAATAGTGCCCCATCGCTGGCGACAGTGGGAGGAATAGTGCCCCATCGCTGGCGTCAGTGGGAGAATAGTGCCCCATCGCTGGTGTCAGTGGGAGGAATAGTGCCCCATCGCTGGTGTCAGTGGGAGGAATAGTGCCCCATCGATGGCGTCAGTGGGAGGAATAGTGCCCCATCAATGGCGTCAGTGGGAGGAATAGTGCCCCATCGATGGCGTCAGTGGGAGGAATAGTGCCCCATCGATGGCGTCAGTGGGAGGAATAGTGCCCCATCGATGGCGTCAGTGGGAGGAATAGTGCCCCATCGATGGCGTCAGTGAGAGGAATAGTGCCCCATCGCTGGTGTCAGTGGGAGGAATAGTGCCCCATCGATGGTGTCAGTGGGAGGAATAGTGCCCCATCGATGGTGTCAGTGGGAGGAATAGTGCCCCATCGATGGTGTCAGTGGGAGGAATAGTGCCCCATCATTGGTGTCAGTGGGAGGAATAGTGCCCCATCATTGGTGTCAGTGGGAGGAATAGTGCCCCATCGATGGTGTCAGTGGGAGGAATAGTGCCCCATCATTGGTGTCAGTGGGAGGAATAGTGCCCCATCATTGGTGTCAGTGGGAGGAATAGTGCCCCATCATTGGTGTCAGTGGGGAGGAATAGTGCCCCATCATTGGTGTCAGTGGGAGGAATAGTGCCCCATCATTGGTGTCAGTGGGAGGAATAGTGCCCCATCATTGGTGTCAGTGGGAGGAATAGTGCCCCATCATTGGTGTCAGTGGGAGGAATAGTGCCCCATCATTGGTGTCAGTGGGAGGAATAGTGCCCCATCATTGGTGTCAGTGGGAGGACTAGCAACCCATTGTTGGTGTCTTTGACAGGTACTATGCCCCATTGTTGTTGACAGTGGAGGTAATAATGCTCCAAGACAAAAAAATCTGCAGCACTAGCCCCATGCACTTAATGTGCATAGTAGGTTTGAACATAAATTAATCTATGTACATACAGTTGATCCATGTATGGGGAGTAAATACCTATCCCCAATTATAATACTTCAGATTCTGATTATCTGGGCTTGAAAATCCATTAGCACAATGACCACACTGGTGCACCCATGTGCACCTTTTTCCTTGTTCCCCACATTATCCAAGCGCTGAAAAACCAAACTGGGCCATAAGCATGTAGGATTTATTTTCCACATGTACATCCTTAGATAATCCATTATTAACGTACAGAGCTAAAAGTGCAGCAACCAGTTTATTATAGCAAAGAAAACTCAACTTACCTTGTTAGTGTCAGCAACACTGTTCTGCCTGGCATCAAAGATAATAATTTTGTGCGATTGGGCATTGGCATCCATTATAGTCTGTAAATACTTTTCATCTTCTTTACATCGCTTATCATTGGGCCCGACTAAAGGCTGGCTACAGCGAGTTATTGTAGCCTGACTTTCAGGGTGGATCCAGGACAACACCTGCAAGAAGAAGTGCTTTTAAAACAAAACTGTAAGGGTAGGATGCCCTCTCATACACCAAAGGAAGAAAGGGTAGGATGCCCTCTCATACACCAAAGGTAGAAGGAGTAGGATGCCCTCTCATACACCAAAGGTAGAAGGAGTAGGATGCCCTCTCATACACCAAAGGTAGAAGGAGTAGGATGCCCTCTCATACACCAAAGGTAGAAGGAGTAGGATGCCCTCTCATACACCAAAGGTAGAAGGAGTAGGATGCCCTCTCATACACCAAAGGTAGAAAAAGGGTAGGATGCCCTCTCATACACCCAAGGTAGAAAGGGTAGGATGCCCTCTGATACACCCAAGGTAGAAAGGGTAGGATGCCCTCTGATACACCCAAGGTAGAAAGGGTAGGATGCCCTCTCATACACCCAGGTAGAAAGGGTAGGATGCCCTCTGATACACCCAAGGTAGAAAGGGTAGGATGCCCTCTGATACACCCAAGGTAGAAAGGGTAGGATGCCTCTCATCATACACCAAAGGTAGAAAGGGTAGGATGCCCTCTCATACACCAAGGTAGAAAGGGTAGGATGCCCTCTCATACACCAAAGGTAGAAAGGGTAGGATGCCCTCTCATACACCCAAGGTAGAAAGGGTAGGATGCCCTCTCATACACCAAAGGTAGGAAAGGTAGGATGCCCTCTCATATACCAAAGGTAGAAGAAGGGTAGGAAGCCCTCTCATACACCAAAGGTAAAAAAAGGGTAGGATGCCCTCTCATACACCAAAGGTAAAAAAAGGGGTAGGATGCCCTCTCATACACCAAAGGTAGAAGGGGTAGGATGCCCTCTCATACACCAAAGGTAGAAGGGGTAGGATGCCCTCTCATACACCAAAGGTAGAAGGGGTAGGATGCCCTCTCATACACCAAAGGTAGAAGGGGTAGGATGCCCTCTCATACACCAAAGGTAGAAGGGGTAGGATGCCCTCTCATACACCAAAGGTAGAAGGGGTAGGATGCCCTCTCATACACCAAAGGTAGAAGGGGTAGGATACCCTCTCATACACCAAAGGATAGAAGGGGGTAGGATGCCCTCTCATACACCAAAGGTAGAAGGGGTAGGATGCCCTCTCATACACCAAAGGTAGAAGGGGGGTAGGATGCCCTCTCATACACCAAAGGCAGAATGGGCAGATGCCTTGTCATACACTAAAGGTAGCAAGGGTAGATGTCCTATTCTAGTTACCCCATGAACAGCAATACTGGCTGAAGCCATGTTTCATTTATCCCAGCATCTACCGACAGCTTCCTTTTGAACAGTTAATCACATTTCTATTTCAACTATACACAATCTCAAACATCATTTACTAGTCCCCTGCTTACCGGGATACGTCCTTTAGCTCTAAATGCTCCCACTCTGGCCAAGTCATCATCTGCTACACTCGTCGGTACAACAAAGACAGCTGGATATGTGTCACACAGCTCATAGTTACTGTTTATCTTGGTGATCTTCCAGCTCTCATTGGGCAAGCCCTGTACAACAAATAGGTAAAACAATTATTCTTCATTCACTAGAAATGTAAGAACTGAAATTATATTGATTTCAAGTGGGAGTTCACCTTAGTACCTCATAAATGATTAAACCAAATGGTCAAAAACTGGTACATTTCAGTACACTTGTGCTTGATTTATAGCATATCATATTTCAAATGTAAATGAACCTAAATGCTAATGTTAAAATTCAATTTGGGGAATTACCCTTTCACTGCTTGTTTAGGTTTTAATTTGCAGTAAAATGCATATATACAATGCCCCACTTCTACCTTTAAATCAAATATTCTCAACAGAGGACCTATACCCCCAGTGCCCAAAACATGTCCTCAACATGTGGCCTGCTGTGCTCCAGACCTTAGCTCAGGTCTGGAGTATAGGGGACTTTGGGTTTTTGCACCACACCCAGGAGCTAACTTAATCAGCTTCAAAACTTGGATTTCTCCCATAAATGTTCTGTCATAGTGTAGCACAACACAATGCTTCTGCATTGTGTTATCTACACTTTATGGTAGTCTGACTGTCCTGGGACAAAACAGCACAGAGCTAATCCTGCTATTCCCTGCCTCTCCCTCTACAGTCTTTAGCTCTAAAAGCTTTTATTTTTCTTGTTTTTCCACAACATAGTTTATATACTCATAATACTCTTTACGATACCACTACAGATGAGCATATACAGGGGTTAGACAAAAACTTGGAAACACTACATGATTTGCAGGTGTGAAAGTGATGACATGTTTCATGTTGAAAGTGGAAGTGACGCAATATACTTTTGCTTCCGCTGTATGATGAGACACCTAGCTAACAGGTGGAAAACCTTACTTTCGTCATTCACTGTGTGTGCGTTGCTAGTAATATGGAGTCATGGAAGAGCAAACCCAGATGCTCCTGCGCTTAGGAATGGACTCAGTACAGATTAGGACCACATCACGAATGTCCTGGAATATGCACACCTTGCTGGCCTCAAGAGACCTGAATAAAGAAAACAAACAGAGGGAGCACCGGCCTAGTGCATTACCTTACAAAATGTGTTTAATAAAAGATAAAAGAAGGTATTGTACTCACAAAATAACAATACAGTCAAAGGCACATCATAAAGGATCAGCTCTGTCCAATCCGCACTACGTGTCTGTCCGCATTGGGAACTATGGACTTCCAACTGGCTAACGTGTTTAGAGGACTTGCCTCTTCCTCAGAGCCCTGTTCCTTTATGATGTGCCTTTGACTGTATTTTCATTTTGTGAGTACAATACCTTCTTTTATCCTGTATTAAACACATTTTTTAAGGTAATGCACTAGGCCGGTGCTCCCTCTGTTTGTTCTCTTTATTTTGTATAATGGAGTCATGTCAGAGCTTACTGGGCTTCAAAGAGGGCAAATTGTTGGTGTCCACTTAGGTGGTGCCTCTGTGACCAAAGTTGCCACTTTATTTGCCGTGTTGCAAGGTGTAGTGACAAAGGATATGAAGGCATATAGTTTCTGGGAAATCAGTGGCTGATGAGCATAAGCGCAGTCGACATAGTCAACTGACCGAAAGAGACAAAAGGACATTGTGCAAGATTGTGTCCCGAAATAGGAAAAAAACCTGTTGCAAAAGTGATGCAGAGCTCAATCTTAGTCCTGTGAAGACTGAGTCCTGTGAAGGCTAAGATTGAGCACTGCTGTCACTTTTGCAGCAGGTGTTTTCTTATTCCGGGTCACAGTCCTGCACACATTTTGTAAAAATGAATTAACACTTAACAAACACATGGGGCCAAAGAAACATTTGACAGTGTTTCTATACTGGACGTATACGTTTTATCTTCCAAAAGAAAAAAACATCCTACTCTTCACAGTCACACCTTATTCATGTCATCAGTTTTCGGTAGCACCTATATTTATTTGTGAGCAACTATTTTCAAGGCCAAAAATATCTGATGAGCATCTTGAGAATTCATTTAGAGTTGCTACTCCAACCAACTGAACAAGATATTGATGTGTTTATAAAAGCTGTATCAAATATTGCACTAGTTTTATGTTGCCCTCTTTTACCTTTATAATAAAAAATATTACAAACATTTTATTTTATTATTCAGATAGGTACATTATCTATATCAGTGATTGTCAACTTGTGATCTTCCCAACCTTTCCTGCTCATCAGCTATCCTTATTGTCAGTGTAATTTATGTGTGGCCCAAGACAATTCCTCTTCTTCCAATGAGGCCCAGAGAAGTCAAAAAGGTTGGACACCCTTCTGTAAGGGGAGAAAAGGCTCTCCCAAAACAAAACTAGTCAGTCAGGGAAGGAACTGAGAAAAAGAACTGAAAAGCAGCATTTTGGAAGTGTGCTTGCTTTCTAAAATTAAGGTAGAACAAATTCAATAACTTATTAATATCCTAATCATTCATGATAGCAGATGTAAAAAACAAAGCTATTAGGTAGCACCTCAAGCTCTCTATAGTTAGTATATCAACCACCAATGACCCATATTAAAAAACAGTATTCTTGATTTCTTAAATAAAAAGAGGTTTGTGTGATAATACTTGTAATGGGTATATCTTCAATTAAATCCCCAAAATGTATATTATGATGAACCAAAAGCCATCTGCATGAAAAGCTACCAAAAACTGTTAGGCCTCATTTACACCATACGTGTAAAAAACTGATGGAAAAAAACCACACAGATTTCACTTGTAGAGACATCAGTTTACATCAGTTTCATGCACGATTCAGTGAGTTTTATATACTTTGCAGATTCCTATGCAGAAAAAAAATCTGCAAGTGATATTAATGTTGTGGTATGAACAGGGCACATATGGAACAACTGTTTTCTTTGCACCTTTGCAGAAAAACTCATATCTCTCCACATGGTGTGAATAGGCCTAAATAAGTGACACAATTTAATAATCATTTTTTAGTTTAACTATTATGCCTTAAAATGATCCTTATATCGGGAATACCTTTTAGTATACTTAATGTGTGTAGAATGTATAGTTGAACTGCATTGAATTGTATGCTGTACTTATGTAGTATGGTTTTTTTTGTTTTTTTTTGTTTTGTTATTTTAGATATTTTTGGTATTTTTGCAACTTAACTGTTGAAAGAGAAATGAAAAAAGAGAAATGTCATAAGCTCCAGGCTATTGTGGTCCTTTGTGGTCCTGTGGTCCTGTGGTCATGCTGCAGATCAGGAGCTGGAACCAAGATTTAGTGAGGAACTGTACTGGTATACAAACCATTTACAGTGGGTATAGAAAAGAATCACCCCACCTTTAAAATAATTGCATTTTGTTGCTTTGCAGCCTGAAATGAAGACAGACACAAGTTTTTGTTTTATCCAGCTGTATTTACTCAGTGCAACTGATAACTTCCAAGTGAAAGATACAAAACCAACAAATTCAAAAACAGAAAAAGTAAAAAAAGATTCCCCCCTTGTGCCAGTATTTTGTTGAACCACCTTTTGATTTTATTACAGCTTTTAATCTGTTGGGATATCTCTACTAAATTTGTACATCTAGGACAATGCAATATTTGCCCACTCTTCTTTACAGAACTGCAGTCTTCAAGTCATTCCACAGGTTTTCAATGGGGTTTAATTCTGGGCTCTGACTAGGCCATGCCATTTTTTTTTTCCTTCAACCACTCTGTGGTCATTTCTGCTGCGTGCTTTCTTTGGGCCACTTTCATGTTGGAAGGTAAACCTTCTTCCCATTGACAATTTTCTGGCAGCAGATTTTCCTCCAGAATTTGGTGGTATTTTGCCCCATCCTTTTTTCCTTCTATCCTGACAAGTGCTCCAGTCCCTGCTGCAGCGAAACAACCCCATAACAAGATACCACCATTCCTACATTAAAGCTCGGAGGTGGTAATATTTGGATGGTGAGCTGTATTGGATTTCTGCCAGACATATCAGTTAGTGTTGAGGCCAAGTCATTCCATGTTAGTCTCATCTGACCATAACACCTTTTTCCATTTGGCCTCAGAATCATCAAGGTGTGTTTTGGCAAAGCTCAATGGTGACTGCATGTGACCCTTCTTGAGTGCTTTTTTTTTTTGCAAACTCTCCCATGCAAGCCATATTTGTGGAGAATTTGTGATGTCACATGCACACAATGACCACAGTTTAACTGAACTTGAGCAGTTCTACAAAGAAGAGTGGGCAAATATTGCAAATTCTAGATGTGTAAAGTTAGCAGAGACATATCCCAACAGACTAAAGGCCTGGAATTAAAGCAAAAGGTGGTTCAACAAAATACTTACACAAGGGGGGTGATTCTTTTTCCATCTCAGTGATTCTGTTTTTGAATTTTTTCATTTTTCTTTCTGACATGTTGGTGTTGTGTCTTTCACTTGCATGTTCTAAGTTGCACTAAGTAAATACAGATGGATAAAAAACAAAAAACTGTGTGTCTTCATTTCAGGCTGCAAAGCAACAAAATGTGATTATTTTAAAAGAGGGGTGATTCTTTTCTATGCCCACCGTAAAATACTTTCCAGATGCCTGTATCCCTTTTACTTTAAAGTGATTCTAAAGGGGTTTTTTTTTTTTTTTTTTTTTATTATAACAGACATGTTATACTTACATGGGCAATGGTTTTGCACAGAGCAACCCTGACCCTCTCCTTTTTGTGTTCCCCACCATCTGTCCTGGTTTCTTCCCCGTGCCTCCATTAGCAAGCATTTTGCTATGGTGGCACTTGAGCAGGTTCACTCTCGAGCCGTGCTTCTGTGAATGGACACTGTCCATTTACACAGAGTGTGGCTCGCACCTGCCCCCACTCTCTCCTCACTGGTTTTCTGCCTGTAATTGACAGCAGCATGAGCCAATGGGTCCCGTTGCTGTATGAGTCAATAAGGAGAGAGAGAGACCAAGGATAGATGCTGCTCTCATGCACATCGCTGGATCCCACATCGCTGGGACTCGGGTAAGTATAAAGGGAAGCTGCACACTGAAGATTTTTATCTTAATGCATTAAAGTAAAAAGCCTTCTGCCTTTAGAGCCACTTTAAAGGAAAATTTCACCTTTTTAACAAAAAATTATAAATGCACATTTTTTTGTAGGTAAAAAAATATGCATTTATTATTTTTTTGTTTCTGGAGCCTCTAAAGCATTGCATCAGAGATCAGCAGATTAGTGATGCCATGCAGGTCTCTTGCAGACCTATCAGTGTATCTGTAGCCGAGCATCTTTTTTCTAAGGGCAAGCAGATACTTACTGACAAAAAGACTCAATGAACTATTATGGCACTGTGGAGCGCCGTGGTAGTTCATTGAGAACTACAAGCCAACAGTCGAAAAGGCTGTTGAAACTTGTAGTGTTCTCTATCACAGAATACTGTAAATGAGTGACATGGCCGGGCGGGTGGAGCCCCACATGTACACATTTTTTAAAATTGTGACATCTAGCGGGGAGAAGACCCCTGAAGGTGGGTATAACATGTTACGAAAAGTGAACTAATCCTTTAAAGGAGAAATGGCAGGTTATATACAAAGAAAAACATGCCCATGGCCAACTCTGATCCTCATAGTGCACTAAATACATAGTTCTCTAATAGTAAAATTAACAAAAACAAAATGTGTGTGTGCGTAAGTATACACTGTGTGTATCTATCTATCACATACACACAGGCATGAAACACACACAGTATATGATACATATTACAAGTACCATGAATCAGATATATAGCTATAAAGTTAAAGTACGATTTGCTAAGTGTATTACACCATACCTGTCTCTTGTATTCTGCTGTAGGATCATAAACTTTCCATCCATCCACAGAGAATTTCTCTTTGTAACTAAATGCAAATAAAGGCTAAAAGAAAAAGGCAACATGGGTTAAGGAAAAACATTGTAATTGAATAGATCAGTCATGCTGTTAGTTGCAGGGGATGTATAAGGCATTGCACTCAGAAGCCTCTGAACTCTGACCCGGCACCTGCTGCAGTCCAAGCTGTTAGCAGTTCTTGGCTGTAAGCTCATGTGCTTACCTACATATAGAAAGGAGTCACAAGGTAACTGGTCCTCCTTATGAGATGAACCAAAAATAGAGCATTCAGCACCCAACTCTGAGCAAACGGGTCAGAACATTTCACCTCCATCCACCACTAGGAATACTTGTCCAAGACAATGGCAGGATTAGTAATATTAGATCCTTGTAAGGATGAACCTTTTCTGACAAAACAGAGATCAGAGAGAAATCTCCTCTGCAATATATAAATCACACAACCTATGCAACAGCAGGAAATCATATAGGGAGATTTTTTTTTTTTATCAGATTCACCAAATACTCATATACATTTAAAGGCTGAATTCACCTTTAGGAACATTTTATATCTGGATTTAGAGAGTGTAACCTGTAACATGTTCCTAAGCACTGGCTCCCACCCCCAGAGCACTCTTCCTCTGTGACAGCATGTGGGGGTTCTTCTTCCCTGCAGCCACTATCGCATTTAGCCCTCATGCACACAGGATATTTTGATAACGATGGTAACGTTAGCTGTGTAAAGTCATGTTAAAAACTAGTTTTTCAGCTTCTTTTTAGTGTTTTGGCATTAGCATTTAGCGGAATTTTGCCACGTTTGCATTTTGTACACCAAAAGAAAAAAATTTTTTTGGTCAAAAAAAGTGTCCAAAAACGCCGGTTTGTGGCGTTTTACCGCATTTTTCAGTGTTAGAGCATTTTTTACAGCTAAAAACTCCTCTAGAAACCCACTACTCCTTTGCGTTTTTTCCAGCCAAAAAAAACGTCCCAGCCGAAAAGCATTGATTACAGTTTATGTGTGCATGGACACATAGGATAACATGCTGGGGGGTTTACTAGCTGTAGAAAAAAAAAACGTCAAAAGCCAAAAATAGCAGCTGTAAAAACGTCAAGTGTGTATGAGGACTTAAAATCGGCTTGGCTGTGCAGAGCTCCACCTGCACAATCGCATCATTCATTCACAAAGATCTGTGAATGAATAAACTACAAGTCCTGTCTTAAACCATGGCAGACGGACATTTAGTTCTCAATGGACTACAAATGTGTAATCAGTGCACTGGTAATCCCTTCACACTTCCCTTGCTTTCAAAACTAAAAGCCGATCCAGAGGTACAGGAGAGAGCTGGAGAGAGAGTCTGCAGGAGCCTTACACAGCATCCACGACGGACTGGTCATGGTTGCAAAAGCTTTGCAGCTCTTGTGGAAAAAATGTTTATGCAAATTTTTTTCCTGAATATAATAATAATAATATTAACCCAGCAAGCTCCTGCACAAAAGCAAAGTTTCATTGTGAATTACAGCACAGACCTGGATCAAAATACACAAAGCACATGAGATTGTGAATACACATTCCACTTGTAGTTGGTCAATAGTTGCTTATCATAGAGTTTTAAGTTAACCCCACTCCAGCCCCTCTTCCCTAGCCCCCTAAACTATCCTAAATTTAACCCCCACCCGGGTGCTGGCTGTCAAAATCTAGTGTGGTGTGGCCCATTAATGTCCCATAGTCCCAAATGTAATGTACCTGAGCTGTTGGAGCAACATCCTAGATTTTGTCGGTGAGGATGTTAATAATGTTGGAGCAGGTAAGCAATAACCTGGGTGGGAGAGTTTGAGCCTAGAGATCATTAAAGATTAAAGCTGCCCATAGTCGATGCAATTTTCTTTCCTGCAACCACAGAAACGAACAAACAGCAAAGAAAATGGCTTGATTCCCGCTTTGCTTCTGTGTTCTCCTGATGTGGAGGGAGCTGTCCCCACCAGAACACAGTGATTATTGCTAGTGGCTATAGCCGCTGGCAATAGTTTCATGAAAAATCAAACAGGCTGGTTGCACCAAAATCTTACATCAATCAAATGCAATACAATCAGCCTGCCCATAGATGGTTCCAATTTCGGCCGGTCCCTGATGAACGGACCGAGGTGCAAGCCATTTGTGGCCAGTGTTCGTAAACTAACAAACGTCTCTTATTTGCTTCCTTTTGTTCAGTGGAATATATAACAAAGAGTTTCGTCACATCCGTTTCAAAAGTGTAATCATGACCGTCTTATCTTTCCAGAAACCTTGTCAACTGATGACTTCCTGTGCTCTCTGCCTGTGCACCACTGTTATGTTTTATTGTTCTGGGGACTACAGGACCCCCATCCACCTATGTTAGGACAAAGGAACGGGGGGGGGGGGGGGGGTCCTAGAAGGTTCTGTTGTCCTGACATATAAGGCTTAGTGAGTGTTGTCATACTATGATAGGAAGTGTGTTACTGGCAGGATCACCAGGTGAAAACATAGGGGGAAAAAAACTAACACACAACCACCGCAGTACTGGTAAGCTGCGATTAGATGTTTGTATTTGGGTTTAGATACGCTTTAAACGTAAACTTTAGGAGATGGCTGTCAACACATACCTTAAAGGAAGGGTTTGCGTTAAACGTTTTTAGTCCTCATGCACACATGTTTTTGGCTTTTGATGTTTTTTTCTACAGTTAGTAAACCCCCAGCATGTTATCCTATGTGTCCATGTAAACATAGAATGTAATCAACATTTTATGGCAGGGATGTTTTTTGGCTTGAAAAAAAAACCCAGGGCTAGAGGGTTTCTAGAGGAGTTTTTAGCTGTAAAAATGCTCTAACGCTGAAAAAATGGTAAAACGCCACAAACCGGTGTTTTTGGACATTTTTTTTACCAAAAAAAAGTAACACTAAAAAAAACAAACATGGAAAAAATGCTAATGCAAAAATGCTACAACAAAAAAAAAAAAAAAAAAGCTGAAAACTCATGTTTTTAACGTGACTTTACACAGCTAACGTTACCAGCGTTCTCAAAACACCCCGTGTGCATGGAGCCTAAAAAGTAGGTGGTGTGTGATAAGATCGAGCTTTTAAAGTAAATTTGTACTGAGGCTGCAAATGCAGAATTCTAGCTCAAAATGCTAGCTGCTTGGCTGTCAGTCACTAACCTAAAACAAGCGTGCAAAATAGGAAAGTCACAACACCTGATCTGACCGGATCAATAAGGGCTCATGTACACTGCAGCTGATAAACTGACATTCAGGAGCTGTTCTGTGTTTATTTCAGCAGCCCCTGACTCTCCCTAATGTTTTCCTATGTGTCCATGTACACATCATTGTTTACAGGCAGTTGAATTTACAGTCATTTTTTTGAACGCATCAAACTTGCGTTCAGGAGTAGATTTTTACCAGCGTTCCAAATGCCAAATGCTTGTAAACGCGTGTTATCGTGGTTAAACCGCGTTTATAAGCATTTTTTAACTGTTCCATGTCCAGATGCTGTCCAGAGCCTTTTTTTATCATCAGAAATGCATGCAAACCATTTTCCATGTATTCACATGGACCTAGCACACCAGCGCAGTCAGTTCCAGGTTTTGCGTGAAGGAAAAAAAATGGTAGAACGTGCTGCATTATGCTCATGATGGGATCCATAGTGAATACAACCAGAAAAGACAGGTCATCTCAACACATACTGCTCTATCTGCTTCTGCTCTCTCTATTTCCCTCAAAATGTCTGAAATAGTTAATTTTTTACGGTTTTTCAGTGCATTCTGGGCAATTGGGAAGGTCTTCTGAGGTTATCTTTTAAAAAACGCTTCTGAATGCAAACGCACATAAACGTGCTATGCAAACTCAGCTAAACTGCCGTTTTTTAACCTACGTTTTCCAGCAGTCAGCTTCCATCGTTCAGAAGAGTTTTCCAAACGCCCCGTGTACATGAGCCCTAAAGCTATTTATTCAGCATGAAAGACAGGAAACTAGCATTTTCAGAGGGAGGTGACAAAAGTTACAGCCTGCATACTTCTTCAGTTTAAGAACAGAAGTAGAACTGCACACTGACAACCACAGAATAAAGAGCAGAACAAGTGTAACACAGAGCCCTCCACTCACAATCCTTGGAATGAGATCTCTCAGGCTATATGGTACCTTGTGTTTTATACAATCTACTATGAAACAAGCAAGACAAAGTGACTGGCCTGGAAAAAAGTACCTGTCTCCAGGGCTGTGATCTGATCACGATACTAAATCACTAACCCGGAACAAGCATGCAAGGCTGGAGTCTAAGACTTCGCCAGATGCATGCTTGTTCCAGGTGAGTGACACTATATAGTGAAGCCAAATTCAGGACAACAGCTCAAAGCCAATTAAGACAAGTCACCAGTGGTAGCTGCCATATTTTCATCCTCACAGGTTCACATCAACAATGCACAAGGTATTGAAAGCCTGACGCCAGCCTTACACCCATAGATTTACCCCAATAATAAGAATGAAGGAATCTCCCCTGGAGGCCATTGTATTTAGAGAGCCCTAGTAACTTTGGCAGTCTGAATACCAGACAGTGACTGCTCTTGATAGCATGTAGTCACTGTTTAGCTGACAATTTTCCACCCGGCTCCTTCAAATTTTTTCAATCTACATTTGTTGAGCTAAAGCAATTCTAAAGGTTAATTTTATATTTTTGGAAAACAACAAACATGTCTAGACTTACCTACAGTGTGCAGTGGTTTTGCATAGAGCAGCCTGGTTCCTCCTCTTCTTGGGTCCCCTGCAGGCTCTCCTGGCCGCTCCCTCCTGTCAGGTGCCCCCACAGCAAGCAGCTTGCTATGGGGTCACCCACTGCTTTGTGTGTCAATTCACATACGGAGCCGTGGCTTGGCCCTATCCCCTCTCTCTTCATTGGCTGGCTGGCTGTGACTGACAGCAGCAGGAGCCATTGGCTGTCTCAGCCAATGAGGAGGCAGAGAGACCCAGAAAACAGCTGAGACTGTCATGCACATTGCTGGATCTCCATGGGGCTCAGGTAAGTATTGAGGGGGCTGGGGGAGCTGATGCACACAGAAGATTATTTACCATTATGCATAGAATGCATGAAAGTGAAAAACCTTGAGCCTAAGTGGTGCCAACAAAGCACCCACAACTCAAAATTCAAGACGTGTATGACCAGCTTAAGACTTTGTCGTGTTTGTTTTCATTATAGAGTGCATGAAATACAAAATAAAATATAACCAGTACAGACATTACATTAAGGTGGTAGTAAATTAAAAAAAGAAAAAAAAAATTGGGCCCCTGCAGGATAATGTCACACTTTGCAATTATACATTGCATACTAGCACATTGTGACAGACATACCCTATAACAAAGCCCTCCAGCAGCGTGCTTTAGGCGCCTCCATCTTCAACTGGTGTTCCTTCCAGGTTTGTGGGTTTCGGCCGCAGGAGGAATGGCTACGGCACAGAGTTCTGAATGAACAGCACGGTCCATTCAGAGCCCAGTGTGCATGAGCAGTAATGTCACCGGCTGCTAATAAAGTGGATAGCTCCAAAACCAGCCTTTCTCAACCAGGGTGCCCAGGCACCCTGGGGTGCCTTGAGGTTTCTTCAAGGGTGCCTTGTCAAAATGTCTAAAAATTGCCCAAAACTTGTATACAAGCCAGCGGGTGGAACAAGCCTGCCTTTTAGTTCCACAAAGCCACAGGTTTTCATTGTGCACCATTATGACCTTCTAGCCGCCGGCATCCTGACAACCAATGACATCATCAGTTGATAAGGAGGATGTCAGCTGCCTGCACAGCATCCTAGTTTGACCCTCCCCTGCCCCTCTCCATCAGTGCTGGGGTCACATTAGCTCAGTGATGGATAAAAAACGGGAAGAAGAGAAACACTGGCATACTAGTCAGTACCAGTGTGCAAAAGTGTATTTGCTTTAGAAAAATAAATCACCTCTAATGTTGGGTGTCCTACATGTGTGGATGTTGCTACGTTATATAATACTATTAGAATAGTTTTTTCACATTTTAAAATGAGGTGCCTCAAGACTGTCCATGATTTTTAAAAGTGCCTCGGGACCGTTCATAATTATAAAGGGTGCCTTGACTGAAAAAAGGTTGAGAAACACTGTCCTAAAACAGTGAGGAGATATTTACTGTACCTAATGGAAAGCCTTATTATAGGCTTACCTGTACGTAAAAACCATACAAGTGACTTTACTACCACTTTAAAAGAAATGTCACTCGGTGATATTGAATGGAGGGGTTATGATTTGAGTGCTTGCTGATGTTCATCTCTGTGCCACTTATTCAGCTCCCATGAGGAATATATTCAATTTAATCAAAAAGCAATTTATATGTTATATTGAAACAAACTTTTAGTTTTGGATAGGGTTAAGACACCTTCAGGTTATCGTCTTTTCTGCCTGTGTTACACTGGGGATTTTGTTTTGATTTCCTTTTGTGTCTTGAGAACAGAAAGTAGAGGATTTCTCTACTCTGCTAAGGTCAGCACTATTTCTAATAATGTTCCCTCCTCCTACTACCTATCCTGCAGTATCTACCGGTATATAAATTAAAAAACTCAGCCTGGTCATGTGTTCCAGCAGCTCCAGCTGTAAGGGGAGCTCAACAACTGATGTACATTTCTGGAGCTACGACATCCCCCACTGCCTTCTTTTGCTCCTCCGTAGCCGATGCTCTCACCTTTCTTCTGAAGCTGCCGCTAATTGACAAAATGGAACCATAGCTGCAGAACCACATGATTGGACCAGACTAAAAAAGGTAAATACACAGAACTTTTTTATACAGGGTATCTAGGATAGGTAAGAGATGTAAGGAACATTTTTAAGAATAGTAAAAGTTAGGCTTATCTTGCAATTTAAGTTAATAGGAACCCATCTTAGACATTTGCCATAGAACATGTGTCCATATTGAAGACTGCCCCTCATTTTCTACTCTGCTGACAATTCTAAAAAAAAAAAAAAAAAAAAAAAAAAAAGGTTTTGTAGAAATAGTATAAAGGACACACTCCACTGGTCCACACAGCTTACATACCTTTATTGATAACAAATAGACAAAAAACACTCCTTAGGCGGTATAAAAAGAATATGTAAGCAAGCGCTAATTGAGACTAAGTATGAATATAGGCAGTGTTTGCCACTCTAGTGGGGCTTAAGCAAAACATGGATGAAAAGGATGAACCGGCCAAATTTCAATCCATGTACGGGTTAGCTGGTTGTACACAAGTTGATCTATTAATCAACTTGTGTGTACAACATCCTGTTGGGTTTTCCCTGAACGATCAGTACCGCCAGCTATAGACAGCAATGCTGATCATTGTATTCTGCAAGAAGGGAAGGCTTCCTGCAATAGAATAAAATAGCACAGTGGGAAGGGGGGAAAATGGCTTTTTTTTTTTTGTTTAACCCCTAGTTGATAGGGAAAAAAAAAAAAAGGATAATTTATTAGTGGACGTAAGCTGGCCATATGTTCTACAATTTTCTTTGGAAAAGAAAAAAAAAATTGTAACATATATGGCCAGCCTTAGTCAAATGTTCTTGTTTACATTTTAAAAGAAAAAAAAAATAGAGGTTTTGTAGAAATAGTATAAAGGACACACTCCACTGGTCCATACAGCTTACATACTGTACCTTTATTGATAACAAATAGACAAAAAACACTCCTTAGGCGATATAAAAAAAATATGTAAGCAAGCGCTAACTGAAAATAAGTATGAATATAGGTGGTGTTTGCCACTCCAGTGGGGCTTAAGCAAAACATACATGGATGAAAAGGATGAACCGGCCAAATTTCAATCCATGTACGGGTTAGCTGGTTGTACACAAGTTGATCTAATAATCAACTTGTGTACAACATCCTGTTGGGTTTTTCCTGAATGATCAGCGCCGCCAGCTATAGACAGCAATGCTGATCATTGTATTCTGCAAAAAGGGAAGGCTTCCTGCCAATAGAATAAAATAGCACAGCGGGAAGGGGGGAAAATGGCTTTTTTTTTTTTTGTTCAACCCCTAGTTGATAGGGAAAAAAAAAAAAAAAGGATAATTTATTAGTGGACGTAAGCTGGCCACGTGTTCTACAATTTTCTTTGGAAAAGAAAAAAAAAAAAAATTGTAACATGTATGGCCAGCCTTAGTCAAATGTTCTTGTTTACATTTTAAAAGAAATGGACCCAGATGCCAACAGTTTAATGGCTAAACTAATCCTAATGAATCACTTCCACCATAAGCTCTGTGTTTGTAAGATAGCACTTTTGTACTCTGTATGCAAACATATTGCCAGGAAAAAAACTGACAATGGGAGAAAGTCTGATCTAACAAGGATCCATCCAGGACTAAACACACAAGTATTAGTCTGACATTACTTCAGAGTTTAGGTAATAAGAAACAGATTATACTCAGGCGGGGTGACATGTTCCTAAACTTCATAATTTCCAGCCATCACAAAGCCCTTCAAATTTGTGAGAAAATACTTTTGTCAGTGTGTAAAGAAATGGAGTCATCACAGGGATTCTAGTGAGCTCCCAACATAATTATAAAGTATTCCTGGCAGAAATCAGAAGTGGCTCCAGCTATGCAGATCTGCCAGACTTCCTGATCCTGTTATGGAACATACATATGCTTAAGTGAGGAAAGAATCCCAATGGTTCAGCAATTCATCATGTTCCAAGCAAATGTAAAAATAATATTATGAAAGATTTATTTTTTAACTTAAGGCACATATAGCATCAGACAAATACGTGGGGGGTTGTTTGTAAGTTCGGTCAGCTTTGACAATCAAAAACAATGTCGCTGCTCAGAATTTCATACTTTACAGTATTTTGCTTGTTTTATCACCTCAGGATAGGATGTCAAACATCCCAAAAGCAGACACTAACATATCAGCTAAGGTTGTTTATGACATGCTGTTAGGAGTTCCAACATATTGTACATTACTCTTGCTCTTCATATTACTTAAAAGTGGTTGTAAACCTCAGACATTAAATATTGAACAAAGCATATCTCTCTATAGTGTGTACTTGTCTCAATCCAGAGCACTAGGTTTTTTTTCTGTCTGATGTCTCTTTCCTCTGCTATAAGCATGAGTAATTTCTGACAAGTTTTCCTGACACCAAGAGAAAAGTGGTGACAGGGGAGGGCACAGTATGGGACTGACAGCCTCAGCTCTGTTCCTGTGTGCTGTATGAAGGGGGATGTGTCCCTTCCCTCCAATCGACGACTCACTGATGCAACTTCAGTTCATCATCCTTTGCTTTTCAGAGCTGAGAGATCTTGTGTAAATTCTGCACTTTGAAAGGATGTAGGGAACAGATGGTTCAGATAGATGGGTACAACTTATGAAGGAGGATTTGTTTTATCTGTATATCACCTGAGGCCAGTCACTATACTAGGTGTAAGTAAGGGTTTACATCCTGGAATACGGCTTTATTGGCCATGGTCTGGGCACTAGAAGTCTAAAATGTTTCCCTGAACATGTCAAGTGAAGTTGAGTGCCACAAAAACAAAAAAAAGAGAATATGAAGATCAGCTACTTACCAGTCCACTTGAAACAGGAAAGGCATGCCTTATAAGATTTTCAAATATTTCCAGCTTGCTCTGCTCTTCCTGTTTGTAGGCTAGCCTTAGGTTCCTCATATCCTTTCAAGAGATAAAGGATAATCTTCTAAGAAGTATACTCTGGGGATAATCTGAACAATCATCAGTGAAGTGTAGCAATGCCAAAAATCAGTGGAAGCCGAAAAATGTCACTGCTTTTATGTCTTTCTTTAGAAACAATACAGGCTTTGGTTTTCAGGGGAAACACTCAAAGTCTGGCGTTTCCTAGTAGATAAATACAGTAAGTGCATAGAAGAACAATAGCTTAATCTGTGCACTCCATGTTGCGCTCAACAAAGCTCTTGTACATGCTTTCCATTTGGTGCTCTCCTTAGCTGGTGTACCTACTCAGAGAGACCATATAGCCCATATATGTCAACGTTTGGTGTGGCACTGCACAGCAAAACCCAACACTTGGCGGAAAAAGAGATTCCTAGAAGGAGTAAGGAATGGACATTGGTCTTATCAAACCATGTGTCTCAAAAGAAGAAAAAAACAAACCACAGGCCATTAAAATGACAACTGCCAAGTCTGTTACTAGGACATGACAAGTTGGGGGAAAACAAGATATACCTGTGCTCAAATCCCAATAGCTAGTATATCTATCTATCTATCTATCTATCTATCTATCTATCTATCTGGTGCAAAGGGGTGTAACCAAATATTAACACTAGAAAGTCTGCAGGACTCTCTGCACACTGGTATATACCCTTTCCAGCAGACTTTGCAATAAAGAATAGGGATTTTTAATTTACACATATTGCAATACATGTTTAACCACTTCAAGTCCGGACACTTTCACCCCCTTCCTGCCCAGGCCAATTTTCGGCTTTCAATGCTATCGCATTTTGAATGACAATTGTGCAGTCATGCAACACTGTACCCATATGATTAGCATTTGTTTGAGACAGAAAAACTTTATTTATTAGTTTATAACCAAAAATTATAATTTTTCAAATTTTTTTTTTAATTTTTAATTTATTTTTTTTTATATGATTATTTATGTTTTTTTAACATCCTGTCACCCTAGCAGTACAGTGTCAACTTGTGGGGGGTGATGAGATTTTTTTTTTTTCACACCCATAAAGGCTGTAAAATCAATAATTTCTCCTTCTCTATGGCTGCATTCTTGCAGTCATTGAGAAATACTGTGAGAGCTGTGATTGGCCATAGCTTGTCACATGGTACAAGGCTGTTGTGAATAGCCTTGTACCATGTGACCTCTGATCATTCACAGATTTAGCTAGTAGTAAGCAATGATGCCAGAACTGACTTGCTTACAACTATTCATGTGATCACTGATTGGCCAATCAGTGATCACATGATTGGGACCTCACACAGAGGTCTCATACAGCGATCGTGGTGCCCGCGCGCTCCAGGGAGCACGCACAGGCAGGGAATGTGGGAGGACGTTTATAAACAGCCACCCGCTCCTACACTCCTCTTGTCCGGCCGGGAAGTGGTAAGCTGGCCAACTGCATCAACATAATCCCTCTATGGCCAGTCCTACTCTGCTCTGCCTACACAAATTACTGTGGACACAATGCCAATATAGGGGAAAAGACAAGTGGTGGAAAGAGACTAGGTTTAGGTCTGGCTACTGACCCAGTGGCAGAGTATTATTTTGTTTGTTGTACATGGGTCAGTAGCCAGACCTAAACCTTTGCTCTCCCCCACTTTGTCTTTTCCCCTATACTGGCACTGTGTCCACATAGCATTTCCGTAGGCAGAGCAGAGTAGGGACTGGCCATAGAGGGATTACTTTGACGCAGTTGGCCAGCTTAAACATGTATTGCAATATGTGTGAACCGAAAATTGCAAAGTCTGCTGGAAAGGGTATATACCAGTGTGCAGAGGGTCCGTCAGAATTTCAAGTTGGGGGAAAAAAGCATGGTAATGCAATAAACAGCACATTTTAGGACAGCACAGCATACATTACAATGCACAACAGTGCCAGAAATTTGGGTATTTGTGGCATATGGCAAAGGATGTGACAGTACAGAACAATTTTGAAATGCAAAAAAATAAAGCAAAAGTAACTACCTTGCATCCTATTTCTATACCGCAAGAATTGTTCCCTTGACTCTGAACTCCTATTTTCTCCACCCTGCTGATTACACCCAGGGGGACATCCAAGATGAAGGGTGGATCCTGGAAAGAGAAGGAAAAATAGGATGGTTCATACTGGTGAGCATTATGCATACATAGATTAAAAAGGAATTTCGAATGAGCATGCTCTCTCTGCAATCTCATCTAACAAGCCCCCTTTAGGCCTTTTTTAACTACACATAAATAGGTGCAATAACCCACAATAAATCAGAATTAAAAGGTCTCCCTAGTCAAAGGTAATTTTTCTGCTACGGGTTGAAATTTTTGAATTAGAAAAGTTTATGATGGCGTTTTCTAGGAATACATAAAGGGCAAACAAACAATTATTAAATTTGTGTGTAGATGTATTTCTTCTATTGAAAAAAGGGTATTTACTAACAAGATCAATGACTGGATAGTGAGAACTAGTGGGGAGATTTGGCATTTTCATACCGCTTTTCCTGCCAAGAAGTTTATATTGTAGAGCTATTCGAATATCGTCAAAGACACATTAAAGCGGAACTACACTGCATCTGGTAGGTTAATTGGATCCTGTCCAAATTGGCCCTAGTATGTGTATGCATGAATGTAAGTTAGGGACCTTAAATTGTACGCCCCTTGAGGGTTAGGGACCGATGTGAATGTACAATATATATATATATGTGTAAAGCGCTGCGTAAATTGACAGCTCTATATAAGTACCTGAAATAAATAAATAAATCTGAGCACCACAAAGCAAAAATGATATTTAATTAATATTTAACATTCAAAGGCAAACTCTCCTATCTATCCATGTCTCCATGCTTTATTTAGCTGAGAAATATCTTTGAAGACCCCCCCCCCCCCCTTCTCGCCCAGCATTTCTGGTCATGACCATCTTGCGATTCATGTAGCATTGACTTCCTGGAATCCATCTGCCCTTAGTTCAGGCATACAAGTAGGTTGGCATGCTGAGAAAACCCCTCCTCAAGACTCCTGGGATTTATGAAATAACTTGCCTAGGCCTGGAAACCAGGAAGTAACTGGGGAAATGTAAAATAAAGTCTAAAAGTAAATATTATATACGTTCCTATCCATTAACGAATGCTAGCAAAATAGTCAAGGCTGATTGAGAGAGTGAAGTTCTACTTTAAAAACAATAACGGAGATTTACAGCAAAGAAGTTATTTCTTGTATAACAGTACCCAGATACCTTTGTAACTTAATCTGGCAATGCATTATACAATTTTCTTTTTCAATTTCCTTTGTCTATGTAGTGCAAAGCCTGCAAACTGAAGTTGTTTAGATTTGACTTCATATTATGTGGTTTTGGTAAAGGTAAAGGAAACTGTACATGAAAATATTATAATGTATGGTCAGCCTTAGGGCAGCACCATCACATATATCTACAGTTTCTAGTAAGTGACATTTGGAAGATTCTGGACAATTGGATTCTATAATTGGCTTTGCAGCATTTTTCCACTGTATAGTATGTTCTATTAATTAATGTATGTGTAAGCACTTGGCAACCATTCAAAGAAATATGTGGAGCTGCTGCCAAGATTTCAGACCATTGTTCATCAGTCAGTGCTCCAATCTCTCTTGCACAAGCATACTGGTGGGCTTTAAAGGACTAAAGCTGGGAATGCATGTACAGTCAGTACATGTACAAGCATACATGTACTGACAGACTCTCATAACAACACAAGCAATGTTGATGCAGGGATCTCTTCCTTGGTTTTACTATATTCTGACAGATTACATAGATCAGCGTATGCAGCCACTGCCTGCGAGCGCTGATCGAATGCTGGCTTTCCAGTATGACTGTTGGACAAAGAGACCAGACTTCTGTTGAACAGACAGTGGTACACACGTACTGAAATGTGGCTGGTTCCTGATGAACCGGCCGAATTTCAGTACACATTTATCGGGTTTTAGTCACCCACTGGGTTTTTATAGCTCAAGGGGACGTTAGGAAAGATTTCTACAGCATATTATGTTTTTTTTGTATTTTAGAATATGGGGAATTGTTACTAACTTTGACGTTCCAGTCCTCGTGCTGAAATGCAGTTTTGCATGAACCTATTCCTGCCCTATGCAATCATTCATTATAGCTGTGAAAACTGAAACTGTTAACGGCAAATACACTCCCAGAAACTCTAATGCTGCATGCAATATATTCCGGAAAAATGAAATTCATAACTCACCCTTTCAATGTTTTTGAAGTACATTTTAAAGTCTGTCACGGTTAATGTTCCACTGACTGCACCCCAGAATGGGCAAATGTACATAACATCCTTAGCTGTAAAAATAAGGAGTATGATATTAAAGCAGATTTATTAGTAAAACATATATTTTGTATGAATTAATAGGGCACATACCAAACTTATCAAAATTTTTTGTTTCTGTAAAGAAAATGCAACTTTTCTTTTCTTTAGACATTAAGTATTAAGTGTTCTTTCAATCATTTGGGGGGAGGGGGGGGGGAGGGGGGAACTATTAAAAAGTGTCTGAGACAAACTTTGCTCAGCTTCTGATGCTCGGCCAAGCAGCTTTTAAATTTTCATTTTCCAAGCTGTGTTGGAAAAAAAAAAAAAAATTAACAGAATCTGATAGGTTGCTATGAGCAATGGCACCAGTTTAGATAGAACTTGTCTCAGGCACCTTTTCCATTGTGTCTGATAGACTTCACATAAGAAAAGAGGATCAACCAGGCACAATGTACAGCACCACTAAAAAGGAAAACAACGCCTGCACATGCAATGGGCAAACATGGTTCTCCCCATGCATGAGTAAAAAGGACATGTCTGTACTGAATTGAGGCAGTCTTTAGTTCGATGAAAGCCTGATTATCTTCAAAACTACTTCTCAAAACTGAATCTGTGATAGGAGGCATATATATAATATATATAAACACACACACACATATATATATATACACACACACACACACACACACACACATATATACATACATACTATATTGCCAAAAGTATTGGGACACCCCTCCAAATCATTGGATTGAGGTGTTCCAATCATGACCACAGGTGTATAAAATCAAGCACCTAGGCATGCAGACCGCTTCTACAAACATTTGTGAAAGAATGGGTCGCTCTCAGGAGCTCAGTGAATTCAGGCATGGTACCGTGATAGGTTGCCACCTGTGCAATAAGTCCATCCATGAAATTTCCTGGCTACTAAATATTCCACGGTCAATTGTTAGTGGTATTATAACAAAGTGGAAGCAACTTGGAACAGCAACTCAGCCATGAAGTGGTAGGCCACGTAAAACAACAGAGCAGGAGTCACCAACTGTCTGCAGAGTCAATAGCTAAAAGACCTCCAAACTTTGTGTGGCCTTCAGATTAGCACAACAGTGCATAGGGAGCTTCATGGAATGGGTTTCTATGGTCAAGCAACTGCATCCAAGCCTTACATCACCAAGTGCAATGCAAAGCGTAGGATGCAGTGGTGTAAAGCACACTGTCACTGGACAGTGGAGACGTGTTTTCTGGAATGATGAATCACACTTCTCTAGCGATCCAATTGACGTGTCTGGGTTTGGTGGTTGACAGGAGAAAGGTACTTGCCTGACTGCATTGAGCCAAGTTTGGTGGAGGGGGTATTATGGTGGAGGAATGATCAAACATTTCCATAGACACACTCCTAAACCTTGTGGACAGCCTTCCCAGAAGAGTTGAAGCGGTTATATATTGAACCCTATGGACTAAGACTAGGATGCCATTAAAGTTCATGTGCGTGTAAAGACAGGCGTCCTAATACTTTTGGCAATACAGTGTATTTTTAAACAGTTTTACAGCCGTTGTCCAGGATTTCCTAGAGAGTCAAGAATGAGAGTGAAAGCAATAAACAGCTAAAACAGAAACCATGCACTGGCACTGTTATGATAGTAAGAGAATGAACATAGGTCATTTTAAGACCTATAATCCAGCTTCTCCACTACTCGCCTATGAAACATTGCTTTTTTTCACAGACTGAAGGAATTCCCTTGCTATAGGTGTAAACCATTTATGTACCTCATGGAGCCTGACTGGAATACTCCCAGGACATTGCTAAGAGAAGCCCAGCTGTTACAATTGACCATGACTACTGAGGAGCATAGGCTTGAATCCCAACTGATAATACCTAAACTACTTGCCCTCCTGAGGATTTACCCCCCTTCCTGACCAGGTCTCTTTTTGCTACTCGGCGCTGCACTAATTCAACTGATAAGTGCGCGGTCATGCAATGCTGCACCCAAACAAAATTTACGTCCTTTTTTCCACACAAATAGAGCTTTATTTCTGTGGTATTTGATCACCTGTGCGCTTTTTATTTTTTATGCTATAAATAAAACAAGACCGAAAATCTTGAAGAAAAACTATATTTTTTACTTTCAGCTATAAAAAATATATAGCAAACTCAAAGTTAGTTATAAATTTAGGCCAAAATGTATTCTGCTACATGTTTTTGGTAAAAAAAAATCCCAATAAGTGTATATTGATTGCTTTGTGTGAAAGTTATAGCGTCTACAAACTATGGTATTAGATAATGGAATTTACACAGCTTTTACTTTCTGACTGCCCATCACATTTCTTGAGGTGCTAAAATACCAGGATAGTACAAACACCCCTAAATGACCCCTTTTCGGAAAGTAGACACCCAAAGCTATCTGCTAAGAGGCATATTGAGTCCATGGAAGATTTTTTTTTTTTCCACAAGTTTCTGGAAAAAAAATTTTTTTTTTTTTTTTTACAGAGTTGTCATTTAAATGATTTATTTCTCGCACAAGCCCAAAATACATTCTGCTACTTCTACCGAGTATGGGGATACCACATGTGTGAGACTTTTTGGGAGCCTAGCCACATACAGGAGCCTGAAATCCAATGACCACTTTGAAAGCCTGAAGGTGCGTAACTTCCTCATTACACTTCCTCACTACCTATCACAGTTTCGAAGGCCGTGACATGCCAGGATAGCACCAAACCCCCCCCCAAATGACCCCTTTCTGGAAAGTAGACACCCCAAGGACTTTAAAAAGAACCATGGTGAGTATTTTGCAGATCTCATTTTTTCTCACAAGGTTTTGAAAATAAAAAAAAATAGAAAAAATGTTTTTTTTCATTTTTCAAAAACTTGTGGCAACAAATGAGATCTGCAAAATACTTACCATGCTTCTTATCAAATTCCTTGGGGTGTCTACTTTCCAAAAAGGGGTCATTTGGGGGGGTTAGGTGCTATCCTGGCATTTCAGGGACTCCGAAACTGTGATAGGTAGTCTGGAAGCGTAATGAAGAAATAAAGCCCTTTAAAAGCCTGAAGGTGCTTATTGGATTTTGGGGCCCTGTACTTTGCTAGACTGCCATAAAGTCCCTCGCATGTGGTACCCCCATACTCAGGGGGAAGTAGCAGAATGTATTTTGGGGAGTAATTCCACATATACCCATGGCATGTGTGAGCAGTAAATCATTTAAGTGACAATTTTGTGTAAAAAAAAAAAAATATATTTTTTTTTGGTCATTTTCCAAAAACTTGTGGTAAAAAATAAATTCACCGGCTGCATTCTCAGGTTCCCCCGATGGCACGGGACTTCCCGAGAAGGCCGTGGAAGGCAGCGGGGGAGGGGGGGTATCATCTCCTGCTGCTTGTAAAAGCAATCCTGCAGCTAATTAGCCACTAGGATTGCATTTACATGAAAGTCGATCGCTGGCTGAAAAAAACGATACCAGAATGATGCCTGCAGCTGTAGGCATCATCCTGGTATAACCATTCAAAGTCTAGTGATGTACCAGTACATCGCTGATCCTTGTTGGTTATATATGCTATGTTTTTTTTTTTGTATGCAGCCTGTGTACTGAATGAAAAAAAGAGAAGAAATCTCTGGCAGAAAAAGTGTGTGGTATGCCCACCATTAGAATATACCACCTTGCATCCACGCACTTCTAATGGTGGGCACACATTAGGTCACACTTTGCCACAAGTGCCAGTTCCAAGATTGAACAAATGTTTCAATAGTGGCACGCTTGAATAAAAATTGTCCACGTATAAGTGGTACCCCATATGGAAAAAGGATGACACCAAGTCCCAAACTATCTTGCCACTGCTCCCCATGTAGTCTGGGCATCCGGGGGGATCCTCGTGACTATCTTTTCCCTCATAAATCCGAAACTTATAAGTATAGCCTGTTGTCCTCTCACAGGTCTTCTACATCTTGACCCCATATCTGGCATGCTTTCCTGGGAGAAATTGTTTGAATGCAAGGTAGCCAGAAAAATTAATGAGAGACTCATCAACGCAGATGTTTTGCTGGGGAGTATAGACATCTGCAAATTTTTGGTTAAGGTGATTTGCGAGGGGCTGAACTTTGTGGAGCCGGTCAAATTTAGGGTTACCCCGAGGATGACAGAGTGTACTGTCGTTGAAATGCATAAAACACATTATACTCTCATATCTTTGCCTGGCCATGGCAGCAGAGAACACGGGCATACAATGAATCGGGTCTGCGGACCAATACAACCGCAATTAATTTTTTTTAGTAATGCCCATGTTGAGGGTTAGGCCCCAAAAAAATGTAAATTCAAAAACCGTAATAAGTTTCCATGCGACTGGTCTGGCAAGGTATGAATTTGGGTTGGCGTCGATAAATTTGTGCATATAAATGCTTTGATCCACAATCAACGCATACAGATATTCCGTGAAAAACCACTCCAAAAATCAAGGGGAGTAGTTAAATTTGCTATTTCCACCTGAATTTTGGGTTGGGCAGTGAATGGGGGAAGTACGGGTGCTGCAGAATTTGTGGGCTGTCAATCGGGATTTGCAAGCACATCCGGAAGGATACTAGGAGCTCTATGGGCCTGTGTGAAAATTCTTTGTGGTTGCTCGCCACCGCACCAGCTTGTACTGCACTTATGGGACTCACCACGTAGCCAAGTCATACTGCAGTACTGGTATTATTATTATTATACAGGATTTAAGGCGCCAACAGTTTGCTCAGCGCTACAATATAACGGGAGACAATACAGAACAGTACAGTTCAATACAAGAGGGTTAGGAGGGCCTGAACCTGGGAGCTTACAATCTAAGAGATATGTGAAAGACCAAGATGTACTAAGCCACTAGTACTCGCCAGTTCACCAAAAGGTAGCATGGCACTAGTACTGGCACTCTGTTGCATATGAGAGTCATCAAAAATTACTGACAAGTGCTAACAGAGATCAGGCCTGATTCTGCGAACACTGTGTTTTTGTGTGTAATATATCAAGTGACAGTGACCTACTGACACTGCACTTGCTGGGGGGA